GAAGACTAATAGGACGGTAGTTAGACGAATCAGATCACTCTCCAGAATTTTTAATAATAGAGATAACAGATGCTGCTTTCCAGCAGGCTGGATAACAAGACTCTGATAAGCACTTGTTAAATAGTTTTGAAAAGATAGACGACAGCTCCGGAGAACACTTCTGCAAGACTATAACAGGTATGTTGTCCGGGCCGCAAGATGTAGAAGAGTCTAAGCAGGAAATCACTTTAGATACAGAAGCTGGAGTGATACGGATGTCGAACAGTGGATCAACCTGTTTAACGGCTATATCAGGTAGAATGCAACTAGTGGAATCAGGCTTTGGCGTTAGACAAAACCTTTTTACAATGGTTCCTAGCAGTAATAAAAAGAAGTCTGTTTTCTGGAGAAATGTTTTGCTGAAAGATATGAAAGTAATGGTTTCGATTAGCAATTGCAGCAGCACAATGTGAGGAAAACCATAGAGAAGAGTGAGGCTTGACCTGGAATTGTCGAGAGGGAATAAAGGATTCCATGCCAGCCTAAATCCACGAAGTTATGTAAGAAGCACATATAAGCGTTAGGATAATTAAAAAAACTTTTTTAAAAATACTCTGCACCTCAATTGTGCATGTATTTTAAAAAAATGTATTTAACAAAACAACACTAGATATAAAATTTAAAACAATATTTAAACATAAGACAAGTTCATATTATTATCGAAAAAAAAAATTATATAAAAATAACTTTAAGAACAAATTGCGAAATTACTATTAACCAACGCAATGAAGTGTTTTTTTGCTCACATTCGCAAGAAATCGTCTCACAGATAAACATCCATTGGATGTCTCTTAAGACCCCAAAAACTAAAATAACAAAAAATTAACAATAATGAAACAGTTAAATTCAGTTTACTAATGCTTACTATGTGCTTCAATTTTAGCATTAGATGTAACTGATGATGCAATACTGATTTATGGAGCTATGAGAGCTTTAATTCATCCAGTAACTGATAAGCACGCAACTTAGTTGATATCATCTTAATAGGCACTCTCATTTTTCTTCAATCAAAACACATTTTTTAGAATTATAGCGCTAAAAATAAATTAAGAAATTGTCACCTAAAAATGCACTTTTTTAAATAAATTCTTCATTAAAAAAAACTTTCTAGTCAATAAAATACAATACCATAGAAGTGGATGGTTCTCCATCCCATCATTTGTCAAACTCATTCCTTTTGAAAAAGTACATCCATCAATTTAACTTGATAAATTTTCATGTATATTTGTGTCCTATTTACATAAACTAACTAAAAGATTATTTCAGAACATTTTGGAATTTAGTTACAAAAAGAAAAAAGAATATTCAAGTGAAAAAATTTTAAAAACATATCCTCTTGTAAAAATTCAGAAACAGAGCCTTGTTTAAAAAAGTTATTTATTTTTAAATGATCAGAAAAAGTCAAATTTTCAACATATAAAAATGTCAAAGGAGGAATAGCACGGGTTGGAGCAAGTGTCTTTTTTTATTATTTACAACTTCTTTTTTTTTCAGTAACTGGAGTGTTAGTTTCTGAACTTAAATATACAATTTTGTGATAATATACATTTCTATAAAATACTGAAAATGAACCAACATCATGATACGATGATCACCATCTAAATTACATATGCTCATCATTATCACGTATATCATATCATCATCACAATCATCATGATTATCACCTGGTCGGACAAAGGCTTTTCTAAAATCTGTTTACTTCTAAATTTATCAGATCTTAATTGAAAAAATGTCGTTAATTTAAAAAAAGTCTGAATAAACTTTTGCCATAGTAATTTTTCTCTTGTTTAGTCATATGTAACTAAAAAAAAAATCAAAATAGAAAAAAAAATGTTAGAAAAACACTTTAAAAAAAAAAGCAAACAAAAAATATATTAGAAAAAAATATATATTTGTAAAAATATACATAAAACCAAAATTAATCTAATCAATCTAATCATTCTAATCAATCTTTACACTTTTTAATGGTAAATGTGGCGAGTCTTAAAGGACCATCGTCAAATATCATTTTGTTATCTAACTAAGAAAAATTAAAAAACAAATTAACAAAAAGAAAAAAAAAAAAAGAAAAAGGATAAAAAAAAAAATTAAAAGAAAAAATACATTCGAAAAAAAAAAGTAATTAAAAAGGAATTAAAATAAAATATAAAAATTGCTCCATTTTGGGAAAAAATAAAAAATAATATTTTTTGAATTTTATTATTTTGGAGTGACGATATGTGTTTGCTTGATATGATTTACTTTTTTATTTTAATATTGTCATTTTTTATAAAAACTCTATAGTTTTAATTGAATATTTTTTGTTTTGTTTATTTATTGTTATTTTTTAATGAAGTAATTATTTTATTTTTATCGTTTCTATTATGGTTATTGATATTAAGATTATTATTTTTATTAAATTATTGTTACTTTTTTTTGCAGTAATTGTTTTAGTTGCATGGTAGGTTTTTATGTTTTGTCAGTACATAACTGTATGTAGCTTTCCTGTCTGTGCATTATATTCAATTATTGTTTTAAAATTGATATTGGTTTATAATCGTATAATTTTCTTATTATTCTTATTACATTTAATTTATCATCATTATTATTATTTGTATTATCAATCCTAATTCATGGTATTTACTTAAGATTAGTTTTTAACTATTTGTAAATGACCTCGATTGTAAGATCTTTTATCGAAAAATATATTGATTGATATCCATTTTACATGAAAAACAGACACTGAATTTTTCTTTCATCAATAAATTTAACAATATAATAAACCTTATTTATCGTTCTCATAGAAATAAATCATATGCTAATTGTAGTAATAAATTATATAAAAAATAGGCATTAAGTGTAATTACAATTGATAATTTTGTTATATTTGATAATCGAATTTATAAATTGAGAAATGTTAAAATATAAAGCAATAAAAAACACTAAAAGTATTTCATAAAATAAAATGCAAATAAATGATAAATTTTTTTTTTTTAAATACATAACATGACAATCATCGAAAGCAATTTTGATGATGTCATTTATATGATCAAAGTCATTTTTTTAAATTATTATCTATGGAATGTATTATTACAAATAATATTAATATAATAATTTTATTATTAAAAGAATACACTTGAGACACAACATAATAAATAATAAAATAAATAATAAAGCACTTTTGTTATCAAGAACAAAAATAAACAATGCACAAACTTCATCAAACTATAACAAGTGCAGCAAGATGGAGAAAATTGTTATTTAAAATTGCAACATGTTCAACTTTTTCTAAATTTAATGATAAATATTCCTAACAGACTTGAATTATAAGGATAAGTAAGAAAATTTGATTTCGTCAAAAATTACTATTACACAATATAGATCGTCTTGTCAAAAATATAAATACTTTTCACTAAACAAATTTTGTTGTCTAACACAAATATCGCCACATGTTGCTTTAAGATAAAGATTTGGTAAGTAAACATCATTACATGATAAACACTATACACATACACATGTATATGAATCGTATACATATATATGATATACACTATACATGTATATCTAGATGTATATGATATACACTATACTTTAGTGTATATCATATTATGATATACACTATAGTATAGTGTATATGATATACATGTATATATATACATGTATAGTGTATATCATATACATGTATATATAGTGTATATCATAATAGTATTATAATAAATAAAAAAGTTTTTGTCAAAGTTAGATATATCAAACCTTATAAAAAAACTTTCATTTTTTATAGGTACGCGCACTGAAATTTTTATATTGATCATATAGTGGAATGTTATATATCATTATATAGGCCTTCAATACAGTATTTTAAAGGTAAAAAAATTATTAAAAACGAACAATTCTAAAAAAATTTATAACATTTTTAGTAGCAAATTTTAGATATATGGAATTGTTGAAGAAACTGTGGTCAAAATAATTTTTTTTTTTCACTTAAATAGTTATAACTTTGTCAATTTTTATCCAAATACTTATATCTTGGTATCACAAGATAGGTGCACTAATGGGCTACAAGTTAATTTTGGTGCCTGGATGTAGGGTGTATCTTGGGGACCAGAGGGGGTAATGAAACACCATCTAACCCTTAAGAAAATACAAGTTTTTGTCAGAAATAAGCACTTTTTAAATGTAATTGTTATATTTTATACACAAAACACTGCCAAACAAAATAAAGTGATCTTAGAGTTGGCCATAGATATGGTTGTGATGTTATAACACCCTAAATACAATAATCATACTTTCTAATATAATAAATAATTTAATCTTTTTTACAGTAATTAAATATTTTGTTAAAAAGTAAAAATATTTTTCTTAACTATAAAACATTTATTAGTGATGTTCAACACTAACTTTAGGGGAGGGTGTATGTTGCACCGCCCCCGCCCCTGCCCCTGACTCATAAAAAATAAAAATAATTTTATCTTTATTACAATAATTAAATCCACTGTTAAAAATTAAAAATAATCTTTTATTACTATTCAACATATATTATTGATGTACACATTGACTTGAAATGAAAAAAGTATGATGCACCACCTCTCCCCCTCCCCCCACCTGACAAAAAATAATCTTTTATAACTATACAACATACATTAGTATTGAAAATATTGTTGTATTACATAAAGCAATATTTTTTTACTATAGAACATACATTAGTGATGTACAATTTGAGGAGAGGGATGGTTTTCCCCCTTACCCTCAACCAACATAAAAAAGAAAACACATAAAAATTACATTTTCAACATTTTCACATGCAATTATTAAAAAAGAGAAAGCACAATACATAATTGTCTTACCAGATTACAAGTTGCACTAGTATACATTTAACCCACTAATCTAATAAAAAAAATAAAAAATAAAAAATGTTTTGAAACATAATAATTACTCTATGTCTTGGCTTTTAGTAAATGGTTTTAATTTAAGTTCAAAATGACCTATTAGCTTCATATAACAAAACACAAAAGTATTAAATAGATTATGTAAATAGGAATAAGAGGAACTCAATAATCAATCAGAGACATTCCAGATTCATAAATTTACTGTTTGAAGGTGGTATAGATGGAACTAAAAGTAAAATTTGTTTTAATAAAAAATACAAATTGCAAATGGTAATAAATGCATTCATAGTCTAAAAAGTAATAATTTTTAAACTTACTTGACGTGACAGCTGAAGATGTAACTGTATAAAAAAGGTTTTAATTAAAAACCATTTGATAAGAGATGTAATTTCAAAAAAGAATATGCAATTGATAAGAAATGCATACACATGTTAAAAGAAAAAAAAGTTTTGAAACTTACCAGGCGTAGCACACATAGAAAGAACTAAAGGTAAAAAATATATTATAAAAATCAATATTGCAATCAATAAGAAACTTGTACGCATTAAAAAGAGTTGTAGCACAAGAGTTAGATACTAAAACTGCAAAGTTGTAACAAAAAATCAATATTTTAAAGAACAAGAAATGCATTGGTTAAAGTGAGGTTAACTGGGTACAGGTGTTAACTGGGCCACTGGCTGTTCATACTTCTGCAGTTTGAATACACCGCTTTTATTGATGTTTCCCAAACGATCCACTAGACGGCACTACTTGCTGCTGATTTTGAATACAAATGGCAGCCATTTTAAAATTTTATTAAGCATTTGTTGTTCTTGGAAGTCACATGTATTGTTTTACTGCAGCGTTAGAAAGTTGATAGAATCTGTGTTTATCAAGTTTTGTGAGTTTTAATAACTGATTTCTGAACTTTAATATAGTGCCTATTTGATTAATTATCACAAATTACGCAAATATTTAAAATACTGGTAAGTTTTTGTAAAAATATGAATTTTGATATAGTGGGGTTAAGTGGGCCGGCTATTCATGTGGTTATATGGGACGGCCCACTTAACCCCACCAATGAAAAATTAATTTAATATAATCATTTAATTAACATTTATATCAACTAATTATGTTTTTTTTTTATTCCAGTTTATAAATAAATTAAATTAAAATGCCCCGTCAACGTCAACGTACCACAACGCACAGATCGTATTCCATTGATGCTTTAAAAACGGCAACTGAAAAAATTATAAAAGGAGAACTATCGATAAGAAAAGCAGCGGCCAGTCATCAGATACCAAAAAATACATTAGCCAGGTATGTGCTCAAAGTTAAAAATACACCTGATGGAGTTAAGGTTAATTTTCGACCATCAAATGAACATTTACTCGTTTTCAACTCAAGTGAAGAATTGCTATTGAAAAAATATATTCAAGATGCAGTCAACATGCATCATGGACTTTCATTTACCCAAGTTCGTCGCTTAGCTTTTGAGTTTGCCATAGCAAATAACAAAAACGTGAAATGTAATTGGACAGAAGAAAAAATGGCTGGAATAGAATGGCTGCATTCATTTATGAGACGACAGAGTTTAGCGCTAAGAACCCCCGAACAAACTAGTCTTAGCCGTTGCACTAGTTTCAATAAAACTAATGTTGGAGCATTTGTTTCAAATTTAGAAGGTGTTATTAACCGATTTAATCTACAAGCACAAGACATTTTTAACTTAGATGAGACTGGTCTCACAAGTGTACATGAACCAGTAAAAGTTTTGGCTTTAAAGGGGCAAAAGCAAGTTGGCCAGGCAACATCAGCTGAACGAGGTGTCTTGGTTACAGCATGTTGTATTGTTGGAGCTACAGGAACTGCAATACCTCCATATTTGCTGTTTCCCAGAGTGTTTTTTTAGGATCACATGATTAAAGGCGCACCTGTTGGAACAAAAGATGCAGCAACAAAATCTGGATGGATGATTTCAGATATTTTTATTGATGTCCTCAAACATTTTGTCGATCACGTAAGACCTACAACAGACAGTCCAAAGTTGATATTATTAGACAACCACGAGAGCCACTTAAGTATTGCTGCGTTGAATTATGCAAAGACTAATGGCATAATGTTGCTGACCTTCCCTCCGCACTGCAGCCATAAGTTGCAGCCTCTGGATGTGAGCGTATTCGGTCCCTTAAAAAAACACTACAACAGAGCCTGCAATGATTGGATGACAAACCATCCTGCGACTCCAATCACAATTTATGACATAGGAGAATTACTGGGGACTGCTTTTCCGTTAGCATTTACGCCATTTACGTCAACATCAGTATTAACTACCATAGAAATACCAACCTCACTAACTGACTGTCAACTTATTTCTCCGGAACAAATACGACCATTCCCTAAAGCCGTAATGCGTAAAAATAACAGAAAACCAAGGCAGAAAGGAAAGTCTGCTGTTTTAACGGATACTCCAGTCAAACGGCAATTGGAAGAAGCTGCACAAATGCGTGCAAATAAATCTAAGCCCAAGTCCATTGCCCCAAGAAAAGAAAAGCGTAAAATATTAATAGAGTCCAGTGATGAAGGATCATCAGAAGTAGAGTATGCCGATTCTTCATTGGATATTTCAGAATTATCTTCTGGAGAAGATACGGATGATTTTAACCAGCCCATAACCGTCGATGATTTCGTGCTTGCTATGGTGCACGGAGCTAGGAAAAAGTCTAGCAGGCACTATATTGCCAAAATAATTTCGAAAACGCAAGATGGTTTCAGCGTTAAGTGGCTGAAAAATCAAAATATGACAACAAAATTTTATATTACAGATGAGGAGCTGACCTTCGTTCCTGCATCCGATATTGTTCGAAAATTGCCAACTCCTCTATTTCACGGAGAAACGGGACGATTCGCGAATTTATATTCCTTTCAATTCAATTTTTCCGATTATTCCATTGTTATGTAAACATAGTGTTTTATTAATGTTTAATAGTTGAAATATTCATACAATTTTATCACATCGATGGTGTATTTTTTCACTAGTTTGTGTTTTTTTTTATTGTATAATTTTATTGTTATCACGTTTATTTTGTTTATTAATTCTATCTTTCTTAACTAAATATATTATCAAAATAAAAACTAATATTATTGTAGTTTCACTAGTATGTACCCAGTCAACCCCATAGGGTGGCCCAGTTAAACCCGTCACTGTGGTTAACTGGGCCACGGGACACATGTCTAAAAAATGCAATATTTACAAGGCCACAGCATGTATTAACTAATTCATTTGAATTTATTAGATGGAATATTAATATTCTCATAGTTATGAACAGAAAAAATATTGAAAAGCAGTAATTTGTTACAATTACATCACCCAAAAAAAAACTGTACCCAGTTAACCTCACTTTACCCTACACATAAAATGTAATAATTTTTTAAATTACTAGTTGCAGCACATGACTAAGAAACTAAAGTTAAACATATTGTAAAGTTTGCACATTAAAAAGTATGAGTTGTTTAACTTACCAGGTGTAGCACAAAAGTTAGATACTAAAATTAAATAATGGGAAATCCATACACGACAAGTAATAATGGGAAATCCATACAAGACAAGTAGGAAATACATATATATATATTTATATTTCTTCAATGGTTTATAAAGGTTATGCTATAATAACTTACCAGCTGTAGTCTGTGCATATGGGATTAAAGATAACAAAAAAATTGTATAATCAAAAAAAAACATCTTGAAATTGTCAACAGTCAATAAAAATAACAGTTATTAAATCAGTTCTGCTTTACGTACAGCAATTTTACTAACAAAAAAAAGGTATGAAAAAATAATAAAAAACAAGTTATCTTTTTTAATATACCATCATTGGCATATATAGTTTAAAAAACCTTAATCTTTGTTTACATGCCATGTAAACAAAGATAAAGGTTTTTAAACTTAAGTTTTTTAAAAAACTTTTTTAAAAAACTTTTTTAAAAAACAAAACAATGATAAGTACTTATCATTGTTTTGTTTTTTAAAAAAGTTATTATTATCATAAAAACCATATTAACTTACTTTTTGAAGTTTTCTTATCCATAACTTTTACCATTTTTACTTGAATTTTAATCTAATATTAAAAATTAAATAATACAATGTAGTAATAATTTTTTTGTTTACAATCCGCTCCCCCCCCCCTATCCTCTCGCGTATTTCTCTTACCGATAAAACGAAAACAAAAAAAAACGAAGCACATTGTAACATATCTGCTCCCAATTATTTTTCATTGAAATTTGGCACATAAATAGAAAATACATGTAAAAAATTGCCTGAATAACAAAAAAAGCGGACACGACATGCCTTCGACTACAAATTCATGTGAAAACATTAACCAAATATTCAGGAGCAAAATAATCTGTTAAAAAATCTAGTAACCATACATAAAAGTTTTAAAAAAGTAAAGATTAGCTTCTCTTCTTTCCAAAAAGTATCTATGTGTATATATGTTTCTAAAAAGAAACTCCACAAAACTACGTTTATCCCACGCTGCCTAAAAGGAAGTGAAAAAAACGAGTCACAAATATTTAGCACAAAAATCGGTTCCGTAAATCACGATATGCGCGTACCTATTTTTTACGTGAAAAATGAATGTTTTTTATAAGGTTAGATATATATAACATTATTACCAATCGTGTTTTTTTTATTAATAAACATCTTTTGCATATCTTTTGCATAAAAGTTATGCTAATATGATATCAGCATAACATTTATACAAACCAAAGTATAATAATCAAACATTTATACAAACATTTATAATAAATGTTTGTATAAGTGTTTATTAATAAAAAAAAACACGATTGGTAATAAGGTATAAATTTTATAAAAACCAAAATATAATAACATTTAGTTGTAATAACAAATTATATCTTGTAAACGTTTATCGATAACGAAAAAAATATTTAAATAATGGCAAAACGACATTTGGCCAAAACTCTGTATCCACCGCAATCGGGCCAGTGCTGGCCCGAAATCAAATGCCGTCGTAGTGGCTTACGACTATTCGCCAGAGCTCTGGCATTTCGTCGCACGCAGCTGCAACTTTTTACCGTACATAAAAAGTTGCTTGAATCGCATGCCAGACTCGCGCCAGTTATTGCCCGTTACTAATATAGTCGCAACGGCGTGTGATGATTCGCCAGAGTGCTGGTCCGGAGTCGTGTGCTGTCTGGGGAGTGCTCGAGAGGTTTACTGAAAAAGGAGTTCTAGAGTACAGTATACTAGTATACTGCATTTTACTATTATAATGTATTTTATTATTATATGTAGTCTAGTATACCAGAGCAATCATTTTAACTTTTTGTACAAGAATTGTTCAATGCACAACAAAGAGTTTCTGATGCATCTAAAGGAAGTTTTTTAATTATTTTGCAAACTTTTTTAATTAAATAATTTTGTAACTTTTCTCTACGGGTTTTTCATTTAACGTGATCTGAATAGATTAATCACCCTAGAATTTAAAAAGTTGTTTAATAAAAAACTTGGGTTTTAGTTTTACTTTTTATCTCTACAACCAATTTCTATAGTTTCTATAGTTACAACCACTTTCTATAGTTTCTATAGTTACAACCATTTTCTATAGTTTCTTTAGTTACATCTAATACGACATTTTCATCAGCCTATTGGCTTTTTCTGAGCTTGAAGTATATATCTTAGAGGTTGTACGTAAAGGAAGTCATTCAGAATTTAATTATTAACCAGAAGTAGAAGCTTATTGGTTCTCTTCCGCGGAAATTTTCATTGAACATAAGGCGCTATATTAGTCTTAAAATCTCTGCGCACAAGAGCCAACATTCTCTTGGCTGAATAAATTTTTGCAAATTTTTGCTTTTAATACAACTAATTAGTTCTATTGAAAGCAAAAATGTACAAAGAAGTTGAAGGTTCCATTTCTAATTTAGAAACCAGTGAAATTGGTCAAATTTCACTGTGAAATTTCACAAGTACATATATATATATATATATATATATATATATATATATATATATATATATATATATATATATATATATATATATATATATATATATATATATATATATATATATATATATATATATATATATATATATATATATATATATATATAGTCTTGCATGTCTCTTGCGTAGCATCAAAAAATATTTCCCATAAACTGTAGTTTTAAAGAGCGCGTTAATAAACCAGACCAGAAAAGGTTTTAAAAATTAAATTTTTTTTTTAATTGATAGACTGCCTGGCCAAACCAAACCCTCAGTCGATGTAGCAGCACTCTCTTGCGAGTCAGGCTATTTGTCAGTCGTTGTAGCAGCACTCCCTTGCGAGTCAGGCTATTTGTCAGTCGATGTAGCAGCATTCCCTTGCGAGTCAGGCTATTTGTCAGTCGATGTAGCAGCACTCCATTACGAGTCAGGCTATTTGTCAGTCGATGTAGCAGCACTCCGTTGCGAGTCAGGCTATTTGTCAGTCGATGTAGCAGTACTCCGTTGCGAGTCAGGCTATAAGATAGTCGATGTAGCAACATTTACGCATGTTTAAAAAATGTTTTTTATTAAATCAATAACAAAAACACCACTAATTAAAAAAAACTTTCTAGTCGTTATAATTGCGGTTTTTTAAAAATTTGTTAAAAAACAATTAAATTTAATGTACTTCCGCATAAATTAATTGCTTTGACATTTCGACGACAATCAAAAACAGCTTAAGAGACAAGTAATTAAAATTGTAGTCGTAAGAGACTTTTTTTACATTAAAATGCTCTTAAAGCGACACTATATGAGTATATATATATATATATATATATATATATATATATATATATATATATGTATATATATATATATATATATATATATATATATATATATATATATATATATATATATATATATATATATATATATATATATATATATATATATATATATATCAAGGGAAAAAAAAATGAATAGGCATGTTTACAAGAACTTTTTCTTTTTACATACTTTACTTGTTTTCTTGTCATATTAGACGATGTAAATTAATTTATTAAGAAAACCAATAAACTTTGTCAGGGTTTTTACGAAAAATGTTATATGGTTTGTTTTTACTTTTATAGTAAGGCATGTTTTATTTAATAAATAGAATTATAAAATTTTGTTTTGCTTGCATAAAGAAGAGCTTATTTATTTTAGACTACATGAAACATTTCCGAAAAAAATGTTCATTTTTGCAATTAGTTAATGATAAAATAGGCGGGAACCAAATTCTTTTACCGACTCAATATAATGGCAAATCTAAATTTATGAGGTTAACAGACAAAAAATATTATTATTTTATATGTAAGCAATAATATACAAACTTATTTATAATATAAATAAAAACAATAGTAATAAAAATTATTTATAGCCATGTATCGTTTTTTGTTTATAAATTTATTGCAAAACACTGTATGCAATCATGGAACTTTAAAAACCATTTTATTAATTATGAAAGTTTTTTAAAGAATAGCGGATGCAAAAATTAAGTATTATTATTTTTTTTAATTTAAAGTTCTAAAAATATTTGAAAAAAAAAACTTTTGAAGAAAATTATTAATAGTTAGAAGAACCGTGAATGCAGTTTAAATAGTAATGAACACAGTTCAAAAAGACAGTTTAAAAAACGATGGAACCAGTTAAAATTACTTTGCTTATAATCACATCAATTGCTGTTCTCACTAATGGTATTTCTTTATATTTTTTATACAAAAAATACAACAGCTATGTTATCTTGTGTATTAATTTATGTGTTAGTGATTTATTACAAAGTATTGCTGGATATATACCAGCTCTGTTTTTTGATGCAAATATGCTAAAAGCTACAACATTGTGCAAACTATCTGCTTTTTTTATTGCTTTTCCTTCGTTTACAACAATTGTGATGCTCTCTGCAATGTCTCTTTCCAGAATGGTGTTGCTAAGCCTATGCTTTCAACGTAATCAAATTAACTACAAAAAACTGTTTATAAGAATTGGAACTGCTTCATGGATTTATGGTTTCATTTGGGCAGTCATGTCTTTTCTAGAATTTTCCTTTTACACAGTAGAAAACACGCGTGCTCGATGTTCAATTAATTTTAATCACAAAACAGGTGTGGAAAAGCTTTATTTAATTTTATTGATAGCATTTGGATTTGTTATTCTTCTTATATCAATTATAGTATCTTGTTTATTTACAGCTTGCGTGATTTCTACAAAGTATAAATATTTTTGTGTGACTAACGGTAATAATAATGATGAAACAAATAATAATATAACGGTATAAAGAGAAAGAAAAAAAGACTTTTTTTTCATTTCTAATGATATCATTTGTAGTCTGTTGGACACCACCGCAACAATTGGTTGTTTCTCAGCTTTTACGTCATTAAAAATACCACAATGGGTTCTTCATGTAGCCTCTTTTTTTGGGAAGCTGTCTGCATTAGTATGTTCATTTGTTTATTATTGGAAAGACGGTTTATAAATAAAAGATTAAAAGATACCAAAATATTTCTAATAAAAAAAACAGGAAAACAACCAAGTTAACAAATAATATTTG